GAACTCAAGAGGAATTAGCACTGGAATGAAAGTACAGAGGCCAGTAGTTGTGATTTAAATAGTCTCCTGCTAACATTTCTATACACTCTACCTCTGATTACCTGTAGTTTGATTCCTGTGTTGGAGGACTTATGTTGCTGATGGGCTAATAAGATGTTGCTTGAGAAGGAGAGAGAATGCTTAAAATGGAATAGAATGTTGAGTTTTTTAACTGTAATCTCTGCTTCATCATATGGTCACTTATGTCACATGTATACAATACATGCGTACTGTCAGTCAGACTCAGAACAGTGAGACCATACATGGAAGATCATATACATTTTCTCATCAAAACTGGCTTCTAGTTTCTCAGGCTGTGCTTTGCCATGTACCTGTGGAAAGGGGTATGTGAAGCTGCTTGGAGCTGTGCCTAACTTAAACAGAACATATTCCTCATTTCCTAAGTGACTTCTGCTCCTGGTGCTGAAGCTATCCCAGGTATCACAGAATCACAGAATCATTCAGGTTGGAAAAGACCCTTGGGATCATCGAGTCCAACCATCAGCCCTACTCTACAAGTTCTCCACTACACCTTATCCCCCAACATCTCATCTAAACCACCCTTAAACACATGCAGGGATGGGGACTCCACCACCTACCTGGGCAGCCTATTCCACTGTCTGACCACTCCTTCTGTGAAAAATTTTTTCCTAATGTCCAGTCTGAACCTCCCCTGTTGCAATTTAAAGCCGTTCCCTCCTGTTCTGTCACTAATCACCTGTGAGAAGAGACCAGCACCAACCTCTCTACAGTGTCCTTTCAGGTAGCTGTAGAGAGTGATGTGGTCTCCCCTCAGCCTTCTCCTCCTCAAACTAAACAGTCCCAGCTCCTTCAGTCACACCTCATAGGATTTGTTCTCCAGGCCCTTCACCAGCTCTGTTTCCCTCCTCTGCACTCACTCCAGCACCTCAATATCTCTGTCATGTTGAGGTGCCCAAAATTGGACACAGTACTCCAGGTGTGGCCTCACCAGTTGTTATGGATGCTCTCAAATAAACAACCGACCACCAAAAATAAAAAATTACTATTAACACAATTAACTATCTCTCTGTAAATTATAGGTTCAGATGTCTGTTAGAGGAAGACAGCACAGATTTCCAAGGTTTAACGGCAACCCGCAACGCTTTACAAAGAGCTCTCTAGGGTTTAACAGCAACCCAAAACACTGAACAGAGCCCCACTCGCTAGGGTTTAACGACAACCCAAACCACTTTAGAATTCACCTGACAAGTGAGGACTCTCAACCTCGAGGACCTGCTCAGTGCAGCGTCCTGACCCACGGTCCCTCAAGGAGTTTCCTTGGGCAGTGTCCTGACCCAAGGGGAGAGTCCTCGACCGCAGCATACTGCTCCAGGGGACTAGCTCAAAATTATACCCAGGATGAATCTGACTTGTAGTCAATAGTGGCTCCCATTGGCCAAAAGCCCCAGTTGCCACGAGGCCCTGAGAACAAAGGCAGCCCCGGGCTACTACACTTCAGCAGTCAAGATGCTCTGCTTTCACTGGGTGGATGCACCTGCCACACCAGTGCAGAGTACAGGGGAACTATCACCTCCCCACTTCTGCTGGTCACACTGTTTTTGACACAAGCCAGGATGCTGTTGGCTTTCTTGGCCACCTGGGCACACTGACGGCTCGTGTTCAGCTGCTTATCAATTAGAACCCCCAGATCCCTCTCTCCCAGACAGCTCCAGCCACAGCTCCCCAAGCCTATAGCATGGGGTTGTTGTGGCCCAAGTTTAGGACCTGGCACTTGGCCTTGTTGAACCTCATCCTGCTGATGTTGGCCCACTGATCCAGTCTATCCAAGTCTCTCTGCAGAGCCTCCCTGTCCTCATGCAGATCGACACTCCTGCTTAACTTGGTGTCATCTGCAAATTTACTGATGATACACTCTATATCCTTATCAAGATCATCAATAGAGATGTTGAACAGAAATGGTCCCAACACCGAGCCCTGAGGTCACCACTTGTGACCAGCCACCAGCTGGATTTAGCTCCACTGACCACTATTCTATGGGACCGTCCATCCAGCCAGTGCTTGACCCAGCAGAGAATTCACTCAGGAGAATGAGAATTCTATGGGGAACTGTGTTGAATGCTTTTTTAAAATCCAGGTAGACAATATCCACAGCTTTTTCCTCATCCAGTAGTTGAGTCATCTTGTCATAGAAGGAGATCTGGTTTGTCAGTAGGACCTGCCTTTCATAACCCCGTGCTGACTAGGCCTGATCCCCTGGTTGTCCATTATATGACTTGTAATGGCACTCGAGATGACCTGCTCCATGACCTTCTCTGGCACTGGGGGCAGACTGACAGGTCTGTAGTTTCCTGGATCCTCCTTTCTGCCTCTCTTGTAGATGGATGTCACATTTGCCACCTTCCATCCAATGGGACCTCCCCAGTCAGCCATGACTTCAGGTAAATCACAGACAGCAGCTTGGCGAGCACATCTGCCAACTCTTTCAGCACCCTTGGGTGTAACCCATCCAGTCCCACAGCCTTGTGTGCATCCAAGTGGTGCAGCAGGTCTCTGACCACCTCCTCTTCAACTGTGCTGACCTCAGTCTGCTTCCCCTCCCCATGTCCCAGCTCATAAGGCTGGGTGTCAAGGGAACAGCCAGTTCCACTCTAAAGACTGAGGCAAAGTATGCAAAGTTGAGCACCTCAGCCTTTTCCTCATCCTTAGTTACCATGTTTCCCTCTGCATCCAATAAAGGAGGGAGATTTTTCCCTAATCCTCCTTTTGCTGTTAATGAATTTATACAAACATTTTTTTATTAACAGCTGTAGCCATGTTGAGCTCTAGCTGCTTTCATTGGAGTGTTTCATACCATGTGATGTCATGCCCGGGTGGGCGCGCTCTCTCTCTCTCTCTCTCTCTCTCACATTCTATCTCTGATTACCTGTAGTTTGATTCAACTGTAAAGTGATAAGGAAAGCAGTAAGGTCTCCCCTCATCCTCCTTTTCTCCAGGCTAAACAGTTGCCTCAGCTGTGGCTCCCAGGACTTGTTCTCTAGACCCTTCACCAGCCATCTTTGGACATGCTCCAAACACCTCAATGTCTTTCTTGTAGTGAGGGGCCCAAAACTGAAAACAGTATTTGGGGTGTGGCCTCACCAGTGCCGAGTACAGGAGATGTCACTTCCCTAGTCCTGCTGGCCACACTATCTCAGATGCTGTTGGCCTTCTTGGCCACTGAGGCCCACAGCTGGCTCATATACAGCTGGCTGTCAGCCATCTTTATAATTTAGCTTTTGGGATATATTCAAAGCAAAATAAAGTAAATGTAAATATTTGCAGTTTTCTTTTTCCCTCTGTTTTTAAGATAAACATGTGACTATTGCTGCTCATCCATCAAATTCTGGAGTTGCTTGTAAATGCACTTGATGCAGAAGTTTTCATATCTATAAGAATAGATTAAAATTTTTTGCAGCAGTACAGAGTGTATCGTCCAAAAAGAATAATAATTACTTTTACATACCGTGTTTACAACTACGATATAAGGAAGGTAGTTTCTGTCTGATGTCTGTTTATCTGATGCCATTTTCCACATAACCAAGTAGAGGCATAAGGATTCATATAAACAGCATAATTGATAATGGAGTTCAGATGTTTTACCTGATACTTTATCTTTGCAGGAAATCTAGCTTTCTTCAGTGGTGTATTTGGTGTGTTGGACCTGCCCCCAAAAAACTAATTGGTAGAAGTGGTATTTAAGTAGTGTTCCAGAGACTGCATGGGATAGCCTGCTGAGGTGCTCTCTGTCTTCTCTTTCAGTCTGTAAACAGAAGATGTCTCTTCATAGAGGTAGCAATGTAACAATGGTTTTCAGCAAATAATACTTTTGTTTGGTGTCATGCAGGCCAAGATAAGGTTGTTTGTTTAATTTGGGTAAAAATCTGTGTGTATTATCCAGATCCACTTTGTACAAGTGTCTGCTACAAAGTATTTCTGGAGAGGAGACTTTCATAATGGAAAGAACTGAATAGTTAAAGGGATGACCAAGGTGTCCTTAATTAATTATGTAGGGAAAAAAGGACACTAAAGGATATGTATCCAGAGCTCTTGCACTGGGGAGTAAGAAATCTGCTGACCAACAAACCTGGGAAGAAACTCACTTTTCGATAAGCAGCATATACCATTGGAGGGTTTCTTAACTCTTCCTCCAGTTTCTGAGTCTGCTGCTCCAATCTGAGTTTGCAGTTGCTGTATTCCTAGAAGTACTGGCTCAGATGTTCAGTATCTTGATTACAGACAAATGTAAAGAGATCTGTCTAGGTCATGTACTTCTGTTAGGCAAGTGTCAGGTACTACGCAAACCTCAAATTATGTTTGAATTTTGTTGCAGGCAACTTGATCTTTATTATGCTTTACTGATTTGTTTATGGAGAGAGTTCAGCTTCGTTAAAAGTTTTGGACATCTAATGCAGTGCTTGTATTTTTCATCTAACTTTCTGACTTCAGCAGTTTGGTGTCTTTGTTCCTCTCCTGAAGTCTATAAACCAGTTGTATTTTGAAAACACACACAAAAAAACCCCAACCCAAAAACCCCCATTTAAATGTTTTCTTTCTATAATGAATTTTGTCTTATGTAATATTCATGCACTAAAAATGATCAAGAAAAAGCATGGTGGAGTATCAGGGGAGTGTGACTTCAAAGTACTTTGTGTCCTTCTCTTTTGTACTGCATTGTAAATTAGCCTTTTCCACTCGAATACACAAGTCTTGGAAGACCCAGAGCTAGATGGAGAGTGTCATTCAGTTACACCGAAGCCTGTGCTGGGCCTGATTCACTGTTCCATTACAGAAGGAACTGTAGCATAACACTGTGGTAATAACATGAAGAGCTGCAGCATCAGGACCCTATATTGGTTTTAATAACATTTGCAAAGAACAGGAAAATTTGATTTTTATTTTTTTTTCCCCACCAGTCTTTTTTTTTTTCTTCTTCTCAACAGGATCCACTCTGTGTAGCTATGAACTACAGCCATCAGAATACACTACAGACCTAAGAGCTGCCAAGTTATGTCCTAAATATCCTGTTCCAGAGAGGTAATACTAATATCTTAACTGATTGGGGGTGGAGGAAGAAGAGGTTTGTTTTGCTCTTGGCAGTTCTTTAGAAAATATGCAGCACAGATTTATTCTGGTGGTGTTTTAGTGTAATGTTGCCATGTTTTTAAAAGATTGTGAAAGCAACTCTTAAAAACCTCAGACCATCCATGCATGTGTTACTGAGGGTATTGAGCTGATATATTCAAGTTCTCTTCTACCTCATGTAACTGACACTGTGCTGAGTATCAGCTGGTTTACTGCCGTTCAGCCTATAGCCAGCTGCCTGTCAGCAATGCAGATCAGAGACAATTAAGGAGCACTTTGGATCGCTGAGAGAAAAAATAATATATTGACACACAGCTCTCTGCAGTGTTAACTTCTTGTACCTTACCTCAGCCAGACATATTTAGCAAATTGCTTTTTTTTTTAATTCATTCAGTCCCCAAATGAATAATATAAGGATGGTCGAGTACCAAAAAGAGGGCTGTATTTTATAAACAGATCGATTTGACTTTTATTGTTTAAAATATTGTATTAGACTGCTTATTAGGAAGTAGGATAGAAAAGTTTGTGGCTCTGGAAACTTTGCTAGCTGTGCTGGCTGGAACTGTGGAGATGAGTATTGCTGAGAAGTGATCTATTTGAAGTGCACACCCTTCTGTCAGTAGTTCCACTCAAGAAAAATCCTATTGTGTGTTCATGAAGTTTAGCTTCTCAAACCTATTAAGTAGTGGGCTGTAACTGCAGAGTCTTTTCCTATGCGCAGTTTTTTGTTATGATTTTATTAAATGTTATAATTGTGTCAGTTCTGAAAACTCTGATTTAAGTCTGTGTTGTCTGCAAGGTAGCCTCTCCAATGAATAACTTTTTTTGGTTGTAGTGACAATAAATATCAGCCTGAATATTACCTTTTTTTTTAACTTTTTGCCAGAAGATTAATATTCCATTAATAACCAGCTGTTACAGCTGTAACACAAAAACAAATGAAAATTTCAGTGTCAGCCTGCATACTGAAAAGGCTTGTCAGTCTTCATTTTTGCCAGAATTATACTGACTTTTCCAACTGTGTTCCCATGTCATTCAGTCTGAATGAATATAGCTTAATAAGTAAACAGAAGGATAGAACAGTGTGTCAGAGCTCTAATGACACTGTAAATTTCTCATGAAAACTACCTTGAGTTATTTTTGAAAAGCTGTGGTGTAGATGGCGTATTTCCCCTTTTTTATTTGGTATGAATAAAATATACAATATGTTTGAATATTTTTGAGATTGAAGTCTGAACTTAATGCCCTAAGACAAAAAAGGCCAATATTGTATCTGTAAACCACTCTGGTTTTATCATTAAATTATTTGAGTAAATTAGTGTAATTTGGAGGGGAAATGGAATCCTGTGGAGACAAAAAAAATGAAAACCTAATGCCCTGTAGGCTGAAGCATTCAGGGAGAACTTACCTAACACATCTGTTCTCAGATTTGATCTGTCAGAGATATGAACTGTCATCTGATTCCCATTAGGTCCATGGGATGTAGATAGTATGTGATGTGAGGACTGTCCCTTCATGTTTTATTTTAGATGACCATGCTTCTTCACATCCTTCAGGTTGAGGCTCCACCTCTCCATGGACTCTGATCCTTCAGCTTCTAGCCATTATGTCCAGCTTTGACACAGCAGTGCAGCGTAGCAATGCAGCAAGCAATGCATGTTTCTTGCAGAAACTGTGCCTAGCATATCTCAGCTTCAGTAGAGCATGACATAGCTGTTTAAGAGAACCCTGGAGTAAAACCTATCCAACTTTTCCCTGCGGCATTTATTTATCAACCAGCAGTGCTGAGCTATGCCAAGGAGCTGCCCTGCAGAGGTTGTAAAGACCAGCTAGCAGTGACATTCTAACCAGGCTTTCCCCAGACAGATTATTGTATATGCCCAGGTGTAGTAGTGAGAGGAAAAAGCTCTTCTCTGAAATCTAATACTTGAACAGTCAAATGGGTCTCTTAATTTCATTTGAATATTGCTTTAAAAATACAAATTTTAAAGCCATCTGCTGTCTTGAACTTTACTTGCTCTTATTCATGATTAAGCATCATGTTGTTATTTCAGAAATATTGTAATTCCATTTCAATATGTAATATATGAAGTTATAATCAAGAAGCCATATAAAATAGCACAGCTCATGACAAATAGATCTGTTACTGTATTTTTTATTAAACAAGACACCTTTTCTTGCCTACTCATTCAGTCAGAATCAGTGAAGCAATAGCGAATCTCAAAAGGTGGATTCTCAGAAGTCCCATTTACTCAAGAAGGCTTGTAGCAACCACTAACCTATATTTTTTTTAATTAATTAAAGTTAGAAAATATTGCACATGAAAATAGGTAAAATGTGTCATGAAATTGCTATAGTTTAATGGATGTTAGATGAGTAATACAAACTCTGGTATGCAAAAAGCATGTTTTCCTGTTGGGATGTATTTTGGAACAGTATTTTAAACCCATTAATTCCCCTTTTCAAATTGGGTCTTTTCCTATGTGGATACAGGAATGCCAGTCCTTTGCCTACTCTCAGCTCAAAAATTGAGCTTTGTTATTGATATTGACAGCTTCTAAATGCTCTACGCTTTCTGGAAAGTTGAAGCAGTTAATGATTAAATAAACCTCTCAAATTTCTGTCTTTTCTAGTATTACTGCATATAGTGAACTGCAGTATGCTGCATATCCAAAACAGGCTATGTTGTAAGAGGCTGAGCAGATATATGGGCAACCTGTTAAATAAGGCAGCCATCATTATGGGTTTAATTTGTTTTCTAACAACTATGGCTACTTGACAGTTACCTTTCTGTGCTTAACTGCTGTCTTCATCAATACCCAAAAATAGACCATCACAGAATCATCTAGATTGGAAAAGACCTTGAAGATCACCTAGTCCAACCATTAACCTAACACAAACCATTCTCAACTAACTACACCAGATCCCTCAGCGCTATGTCAACTGTACTCTTAAACACCTCCCAGGATGGGGACTCCACCACCTCCCTGGGCAGCCCATTCCAATGCCCAACAACCCGTTCTGCAAAGAAATGCTTCCTAATATCTAGTCCAAACATTCCCTGATGCAACTTGAGGCCATTACCTCTTGTTCTATCTCTTGTTCCCTGGTTAAAGAGACTCATCCCCAGTTTTCTACAACCTCCTTTCAGGTAGCTGTAGAGGGCAATGAGGTCTCCTCTCAGCCTCCTCTTCTCCAGACTAAACAATCCCAGTTCCCTCAGCCACTCCCGGTACGACCTGTGCTCCAGACCCTGCACCAGCTTCGTTGCCCTTCTCTGGACACACTTGAGTCATTCAATGTCCTTTTTGTAGTGAGGGGCCCAAAACTGAACATGGGAATCGAGGTGCGGCCTCACCAGTGCCGAGTACAGGGGTAAGATCCCTTCCATGTCCCTGCTGGCCACGCTATTGCTGACACAAGCCAGGATGCCATTGGCCTTCTTGGCCACCTGGGCACACTGCTGGCTCCTGTTCAGCCGGCTGTCAATCAGCACCCCCAGGTCCCTCTCTGACTGGCAGCTCTCCAGCCACTCCTCCCCAAGCCTGTAGCGCTGCTGGGGGTTGTTGTGGCCCAAGGGCAGCCCCCGGCATTTGGCCTTATTGAAACTCCTCCAGTTGGCCTCAGCCCATTGCTCCAGCCTGTCCAGGTCTCTCTGCAGAGCCTCCCTACCCTCGAGCAGATCAACACTCCCACCCAACTTGGTGTCATCTGCAAACTGACTGAGGGTGCACTTGATCCCCTCGTCTGGATCATCAATAAAGATGTTAAACAGGAGTGGCCCCAACACCAAGCCCTGGGAGACACCATTCGTGAACTGGCTGCCAACTGCATTTAACTCCGTTCACCACAAGTCTCTGGGCCCGGCCATCCAGGACAGTTTTTTACCCAGCGAAGCTTGTGCCCATCCAAGCCACGAGCAGCCAGTTTCGCCAAGAGAATGCTGTGGGAAACGGTGTCAAAGGCCTTGCTAAAGTCAAGGCAGACAACATCCACAGCCTTTCCCTCATCCAATAAGCAGGTCGCTCTGTCATAGAATGAGATCAGGTTTGTCAGGCAGGACCTGCCTTTCATAAACCCATGCTGACTGGGCCTGAGCATCTGGTTGTCCCGCACATGTTGTATGATGGTACTCAGGATGAGCTGCTCCATCAGCTTCCTGAGCACCGAAGTCGAGCTGACAGGCCTGTGATTTCCCAGATCATCCTTGCAACCCCGCTTATATCTGGGCATCACACTGGTCTATTTCCAATCTGTTGGGACCTCCCTGGTCTGCCAGGACTGATGGTAAAGGATGGAAAGCAACTTGGCGAGCACCCCAGCCAGCTCCTTCAGCACCCTTGGGTGTATCCCATCTGGTCCCATAGGCTTATGTACATCTACATGATGAGCATCCCCAAATACGTTTACCCACTCAACACAGTAAGTTATAGTTTATAATTGTCAATCACTTCAAACAAAACCCTAGGATCTGCTAAAAACCCAGGTATGGCGAGTGATCATCATTTCTTCCAAATTCTGTACAGAATAGTTACACACAGCATATTGTCTTTTTTTTCCCCAAAAAACAATTCCTAGAAAGGATGTGCCTAAGGCAGCTGCTTTACTTACTACATGCTTAAAATTATGGTTAGAATTTTGGAAATGCATGGGCTTAAATAGTTACTGAGTACAGCAAATTGCTCATTTATATGTCATTACTCAAATGGCGAAACTGCAAAAGATTATGTGCTACAGTCCACTGAAATCTTTTAAGTAAGGAAGATTGGGCAGGGTGAAACAAATACAGTTTAGAAGAAGAGACTGACTTAATATGAAAGACATTTCTTTTTAATTGGATCCAATTACAGGAAGGAACATGTAATTCATGGAACTTGTGTCTGAAGTGGAATTGGGAAGATTGATCAAATGATATAATAGGCCACTTTCAGGTCTGACAGTTTATGAGCAAGAAAAGCAGCTACTTAATGGGAAACACTTGGAAAACAAAAGTACCCACTTTTAAAGTGAACTTTTAGCTCTTATATCTTCCTCTGATGGTCCTGATAACAGGTTCTGCAGAGCATTCTGCAGAGTTTAATGCATAGCATCAGTATTTTTGGGCAGGATGCTTCCAAAACAGTTCAGGAACAATGAAACAATAGAGGTATCTTTGCATGTGTTGTAAAGAATGTAGTGCATAATTTTGAACAAGTTAATAAAAGTAAACACTGTGATTGTAATCTTTAAGACAAGAGCAAGTTTAGTATGGGGAAAGACTAAGAATAAATACACTGGTTTTGCTTGTCAGTGGTTGTAAGTGCTGATGTCTTTTAGCATAAAATGTGTGCTTGCAAGAAGAGTATTGTCATTCTGGGATTTCTTCTGCTGCAAATATGGGCCAATTTTCCATTCGAACATGAATGAAAGCTGCTGATTTACCACCTGACACTTGAATGAGACATGTTTAAGTGGAACTAGGAATATGTTTTTTCTGAGCCTTGCCCTTTAAGTGTGGGAGGGTAATAATTTCCTGTCGGATTGTGCACTCCAGCCTCACAGGGTTACTTGTAAGAACTGCATCACTTCCCATTACGATCATGCTCATTCCAGCAGCACTTGTGCATTCAACACATGGTTTCTGGTTATGATGTTATGAGGGTGGAATGGTTGCATCTATTCACCTTTCATTTATGTGTTGATGTGGCATTTATATTGAGTAGGAGTAATTTTTTTTCTGATTTTTTTTTCTTGTGTCACCAGTGCACCTATTCCATTCTTCCATCGCTGTGCTCCTGTGAACATTTCCTGCTATGCCAAGTTTGCAGAGGCCCTGATCACCTTTGTCAGTGACAGTAGTGTCTTACACAGGCTGATTAGTGGAGTTATGACCAGCAAAGAGATTATAATGGGACTTTGCTTGTTATCACTAGGTAATTGTTTTTCTCATTACTAGATATTTCTTAGTATTGCATTAGGAGATTGTTAACACCCTCTAACCACAATATAAGCAAAAAAACATGTATGATAGCAATGAGCCCTTAGAAAATGGTTCAGAATGCCTTTTTTAAATTTCGTTTGACAGATGGGTAACTTATTCAGAAGCAATATATATATGCATTCCTTGTTTTTCTCCTCTTCCACTGATTATAAGATAGAGGATGTTAATTAGTCAGCATTAGTTTTGGTATAGTTAACAGCGCATCCCCATTCTAATTTTTATTATCATATTCCTCTTTCCCATTTCTAATATTCATCTTCTGCCAGTCCAAGTCCAAATAAACCCTTTCCAGATAAAAAGGATGGTGTGAGAAATACAGAACAGCACACTTTTCTAGAATGTAGGGGGTTCATTTTGTTTCACTTAACATACTTGTGCAAGGATATGAGAACTTTCAGAGGGAAAACAAGAAACAGGTGCCCATTTATTGTATTGTATGTTACCTCCTTGTTCCCCATCCCCTAAAATTAAAAACTTCAGGCCTTCGAAAATCTCAGCCTTGTCTGAAGAGTGGGAAATGCCCAACACTATAGAGGTGCTGAATCATTTCTGCAGTTTCGAGATGCCTCTGGCCTATAGAGTGACACATTGCACTAGTCTGAAGTGCTGTTTTAACAAAGTCTTGTGAATTAAGGTGAAACATTGCTCACCCACATGAATTACTTTCCTAATGAGTCTATTTTACTCCTACCAGATATAAAATATGAAATCCTAAAATGGGAGGCTCCAGATATTAGCCATGTGTATGAACAATGTGTGCAGTCTGTGGTTTATAAAGAAACATTGCAAAGCTGCACAAGATAAAGAAGTCCATTGTTTTCAGTCTGCCTTTGTGGTTGGAAAAATAAAGGATGCTAGATACCATTTAAAAAAAACCCAAACCACAAAAGACCATTGAGTATCTTTTCAACTATGACTGGAAAGCTGTTTATTGTTCTATCTTGACACTTGCAGTATTAGATAATGACTGTTATGAAACTGAAAGCTAGTCTCTGATTAGCAGTGCTACTGTTCAGACAGTGTCTGAAGTTACTACAGAGTTTTACATACAGTTTATTTTTAAAATATTTTTCATACCTTCTAAGATAAACAAAATTTATTTTTAAACAATGGGTCAAATTGTGTGATTCAGAAAGCCAGGTTCCAGTGGCTCTCATGTAACTTCTGTACACATACACCACTCACTAAACCTTAGTTGGCTGGGATTGTAGTGGCAGTGGGATGATGTGAACAAATCTTGTTAAAGAACTAATTTTGAATGTTGAAAATAAAGTAACAGGTTTTTTACTTTTTACTGGCATTAAATTTTGGAATACACAGACATCATATTATCTGCACTTGTTTGACAGGTGTATTTGAGTGCAAATTCTGCTCTGGTCCTCAGGAGGTGTGCCAGACTCAGAGTACTGTCATGTCTTGCTGTCGGTTTTGTCACTGTCTAAATACATCTCTGTCTGTCTGTATGCATTATGTCTTGTATTTAATGTACCATGTAAATGTATTTATGCTCTCTTTGTTTTAATCAACAGTATCAAAGCAGAAGTTGTAGAGGTGCCTAATTTCCTTAACTGTCTGTGCAGTGAGTTTGTAAGCCTCAGAAATCTGTCTAAAAATTTTATTGGGAGGCAGCTATCTTAGTGCAGTGGGAGAGTAAGGATGGCTATTTCTACTTGAAATAATTGCTCTGCTTATTTTATTTATTGTCTTTTGCAGTGTTGTCCATGATTTTGATGGTTATAATCAGGTACATTTCAAGAGTACTTGTCTGGATTTTAACAATTCTTGTCATTCTGGGATCACTTGGTAAGTCGTCTTTGTCTCCCAGTTGTAATCTTTGTGCTGCATGTCATCAAGCCAGCCACATCCTGAATAGATCTTGGGCCATGCATTTCCCTTCAGCTTTCCTTTGAGTCCCTTGCAAGACATACAGCAAAAATGCCACCTTTTTAATTGCAGTCCTCTCCCAGAGAGTGCATTGCTCCCTAGAGATTTGCTGCAGACCCTGCTTGGCTAGCAAGCTTCCTGTCAGCCTATCTCAGTAGAGTCCACATAAGCAATATGAGATATTTGCACAGCAGTAAATGTTGCCTTCTTCTTAACCTGCCTTCCAGATATGTCAGCGAGGCAGCTAGTCTGGGTGTGTTTGATGGCCCACCCTCTCGCTGAGTGTGCTAAGCATGCAGGAATCAAAGAGCAACTATTGTTTATGCAGCCTCAGGGAACCCTAGGATGTAGATGTGCCCATAAAAGCCTGACATGTTCATCAGCCCCTTCAGTCCTCTGAGTAGCTCTGTAGGTGTGTCTAAGACCTGTTCTTGAGGAGAGGAAGCGAAGGTTCGTTTACAGCATTTCTAATCAAATCCTTGTATTTCCATATGACTCAAAAGTCCTGCATGACCTAGGTCATGTATGAAATGCAACCAGCCATGCCATCTTGGGAATGACTAGAGATTTTCTTATCCAAAATTATGTAGCTTGCATGCAAACAGCCTTACTTTATCACATTAACTTTTACAATTGTAAAACTAAAGTTTTCTATTGAAACTCAGTAGCTAAGCCAAAATGTAGGGGCAGATGACTGTAGGGAACGAACAAAAATAGAATAATCAAATTAGGAAGCACTAGCAATTTAATTCTTAGAATTCAGGACTGCAAGGGATGGGGAAAAATGAGCAGACCATCTGTTTTTTCAGGATCACTTGGGTTTTCTGGTTACTAGTCTTAGGATCCTTGATGACAGAAAAGGAAAAAAATAGATTTTTTTTTTTTCCATTTATACTCTTTAGAAGCTGTGTGACTATGAGTGAAAGAATTGAATCTTATCTTATTGCCATCTGTTGTTATGTTCTAAAAAATTGCATCCATTACACAGACAGAATAAGAACATGTCATTTGTGAGACATACTGCTTGTTCTGTTTTCACTGTTTAAGAGACATCAAAAGAGCATCCTCCATTTTAGACCTTCATCAAAGACTTGTGGTCTCTAGATAAGCTTATGCATCTGATGCAGAAATAACAAAAGAACAGAGAAGGATACTCAAAAGAGGGTGGGAAAGAAAGTGTCAGAGGGGAGAGGTTATCTCCCTGAGACACTAGAGTCCTGTATAAGATAAGTTTACCTTGGAAAGGTAGCTAGAATAGGAGAATTATATTCTGGCCATAAGGCTAGGGTTTGTAATAGGGGTTGGAGGACATTACCTCACATTATATTGGCCTCTTGTGCCCTTCACCAATGTTTTTTCCAGTGCCCAAAAGACATTATCTGATCCAGGTGTAGATATGTGTCATTAACCTGAGGTACTGTTTTCAACATCAGAGCTGTTCCTTCTCTTCTTGATTAGTCTTCCCAGGAGCTGTAGACTCCTTCTTGTTATTTTGTATCACACACACACAGACACACACAGAGACACACACACACACACACACACACCACACACCCCCCCAAGTTTCTTACCGCCTATAACTCCATATAACTCTATTCTTCTTTTTTGTTCCTCTATTGCTTGTCTAATGGGAGATGGTAGGGCTTCCCATGAACTAGTCCTTCCATGCACTTCACTCAGACAGAGTCAAAGAGCTGCAGGTCTCTTAAGTGGTCATAGTGGGGTGGGACTGTGAAAATACTATATCCACTTGAGAAGAGGGTAACAGAGGAGAACTAAGCACTTCTCTCTTTTCTAAAGTTCCTGTTGGGTTAAGCATCAGTGCCCTTGAGTATTCTGTACCAGACTAGACTTAAAAGAAGAAACTATTTAGTTTCTTTGGTAGGAGGTAGTATGACTGTGTCACATAAAATGAGCATGTTTCATTTATCCTTTTTTTTTTTTGTCCTCGTTTCATTTATCCTTTATTTTTGTCCTCTAAACATAGGTGGCACAGGAGTCCTGTGGTGGCTCTATGCTAAGCAACGAATATCTGCCAGTGCTGTTCAGACTCAAATAGCCAAAGACAATCTTCAGGCTCTCCTGATATATGCCATTTCAGCTACAGTCTTCACGGTATCCTTTGCTAATGACTATATTACTTTATTTTTCTGTCTTCCTGATGGTCTCTCTTTTTTTTTTTTTTTTTTTATTCAGGCAAAAGGTTTATATTGCACACATTTTTTAAGAGTTTATTTCTACTGCAACCTCTGTTGCTATTTATTTATTTATTTATTTATTTATTTATTTATTTATTTATTCCAGGCATTTTTCTCTATTACCTGATTTTGAATCAGGAGAGAGTTCCTAACCCTGCAGCTACTCTCCTCTACTGTAAAATGTACACAGGGACTTCCAAGAATAGGTACAATATTGGACTCCCAATCCAGTTTCACTTAGGAGATTTTTCTTAGGTTCCTAGTTCAGAGATACTTAGTAATTTCAGTTTATTTGAAAGTCCTTAGACCATTCCTACTTCTGAAGTCAGTTGTTCTCAAACTTTTTCCATTTAGAGAAGGATCAATGTAAACTGAAATACTGATTACTGAAATAATTTATCTTCTTTAGGCCTTGCTGTTTGTTTTGGAGTCACTGACTTTACTACTAAAAATTGGCAATGTTTGACAAACTTACATGACAAGATCACCACACCATGCTCAAATGTGAATGTTAAATTGTATTCTTTGTTAAATCTTGCTGATTTCATTGGCATCTAAAACATAACTGAGGTAGCATCTGGTCTGATCTCATCAATCTGAGGCTGACGATGGTTGCAAAAACCTAATTATGATATTGGAATTCCCCATAAGTAGAATTTGAAAAATAATTTATCACCAGAAGAAGCTGATAGAAGTTTTATATTGATCTAGTGAGTTTGCAGATAGAGCATGTGTTAAATTTGCTGTGTTTAAATATGATAGCTTGCTTATTTTTCATTTCTCTAAAATGTGATTTGGAAACTTAACCCTCTAGGTCATCTTGTTCCTGATAATGTTAATTATGCGCAAACGAGTAGCTCTCACCATTGCCTTGTTCCATGTGGCTGGCAAGGTCTTCATTCACCTGCCGCTGCTAGTCTTCCAACCATTTTGGACATTCTTTGTGCTTATTGTCTTCTGGATATACTGGATCACAGTCCTGCTTTTCCTTGGTACTACAGGTAAGCAGCTATCAGGCTTATTTTGAATAAATTCCACTTCATTTCTTATGGTTTCAGGCTGAGTTGGTTAAAAAGCACGTGGGAACCTCTAGAAAAAAACCCAACATTTTGTGCTTGTGTTCCTGTCTGCTTCAGTGACTTCAAAACACTTGTTTCAAGAAAGTTGTGGGTTTGAGTCTGCATTCCCAGTATGTTACTTTCTGCCTTAGGCTGGCTTTCTGATTTGATTGCAAGTTGGCATGTTGCAAATCACAAGACTCTGTTGGTAAGACAGCTATAACAATTTTTCAAGTCATTCCCTCTAATTTTACACAACAGGTTAAAACCAGTCTAATCTTGCAACTAATCTTACCAAGTGTTGTATTGTAGCCAGTACTCACACAGATGAAGAAACCGTAATGAAGGCACTCTTGTACACAATTGCTGTCTTCCAAAATGTAAATATACTGGAAATAGTTTTTATTTGTTCATAACTTCAGTGTCCAGTATTATTCCTTCATTTTCTAGGTTTATTAGGGAGATTTTTCTGTTATTTGTACACTGTATTCTGAGAGCAGCCAATGTACTCTCCATTTCTGCCAGCAGTATAGAGTGTAGAAGATGAGAACATGGTTTGTGTTCAGGGTCTGACAAGAGCTTCCTGGAGTTAATCAATCCTATAGGCTCAAATCTTAGTTCAGCAGAGAAACCTAGCAACTGCTTTCTAAAATGGAAGGTGTCTGTGCAGTAAATTGTAGGCGATAGAGATATCATTCATTATTAAAACCTTAGAATTTTGGAATTTCTTATTTACTGATAAGTAGCAGTGTTTCAGGTTACAGAGCTATTGCAGGGTAATACAGGGTAAGTATTTTTTATTTCATAGCCTGTATTCTTAGCGAGGGATGGAGGTAATAGAATTCATGCATTCTTGTTCTCAGTACTGTTGCAATTTTTAGTTTTTATTACATGCTGTGGGATGTGCAGAAAATGTTTGCCTCTGAAAGTGAGTTGAGTTTCAGTCCCATGCTTTACTCTCTGGGTTAAAGACCACAGTGCAGGGACTAAATTTGTTGCAGAATTTAGGCTGATAATATATTTTAATGACAGAATTCTTCAACTGGCCATGATTCAGCAAATACTAATTTATGCTTTTAACTTTATCTTCACTGTTAAACAAAATCTTTGTGCAAATAGGGCCAGATCTTTTCAATCCAAACCAGGAGAACTGAAAAAGTGTACATTATATGTGTATAAGAAGCCTACACTTATTAAAAGCTTGTTCACTAAAACCAAAATTATTTCAATAGTTCAATTTATTCACAAGAAAATACTAAATCTTTATATAAGTGTAAAAACATAGCTAAGTCAAAACAATGGTTTCAAAATTTTGTGCATGTGATGTTACTTTCAGTATTTTTCTGAATCTCATCAGCTGTTCACATAACTGTTGTAGATGAAACATTTCAATGTGAGTTAACATATTGAAACAGAGCTTATCCTAGGAGAGTTCTGATGTGCTATCGGTCTCAATACATGATATTGCTGTTCAGATCAGACAGGGTTTCTGAATGTATAAAATCATACGTTTAGAATCTCTAAAGCAGCTCCTTATGCCTGTAAAGCTACAAATACTGTTGAAATACTTGCACAAAGACTTACCATAAGGAAGACCAAAAGTGATTGTTAATGTTGACATCTAGGTGTAAGGAGCTATGAAGTTTAATAGTGATTCTCACTGTATGAATAATTCCAACAGACCAGCAGACTGAAATTAAGAATGATTGAAGCAGTCTTCTATTATGTTTAATTATAAGAATTTTTTGCTACTTGGTGGTGGTTAGATTTTGAAATTTTCACTAAGTGGCTGAAAAGTAAAAGAAGTGTTGCGGGAGTATGCTCAGAATTATTTTTTTTTAGTGCTTTTTCAATAGCCATTATCCTGACTGTTTCAAAAGCTGTATCTTTCCTATCAATAGTCTTCCTAAACATGACATTTAGAACTATTAGTAGAAGTTAGAGGGGTTCTGCGTAGACGGTTATGAACTGCTAATACCATATGCTTCTTTCTTTCTGAGTTGATGTTAAGCACCATTTCCTTTTTTTACCCTCATTTATTTCTAGGTAGTCCTGTCCCAAATGAAGAAGGGTTTGTTGAATTTCATATGGTAGGTCCTTTGAAATACATGTGGTGGTACCATGCAGTGGGACTTATCTGGATCAGCGAGTTTATCCTAGCTTGTCAGCAGATGACAGTAGCAGGGGCTGTTGTGACATACTATTTTACAAGGTAAGAACAATTTAATTCTACTGTAAGTAGTGTAGAAGGGGAATTAGCAGAAGTAATGGGGGACAGAGCTTTTGGGAAGAATAAGTGCTTCCATCATGAAAGCTGGAGAGCAGTTGAATTGTATTGACTCTTTTAAATTCGTATCAAGTCCTAAAATAATCTGTTTTGCTGGTTATTGTTACGGAGGTATACCAAAGGGCCTTCACACAGATAATAAACTTTAATTTGTAACCAAATCCAAACAGCTGAAGCCAACAAGACGATAGGGGTAACCAAAAGAGTGCTCCGATAACATTTAATAAACTACAGGTTCTGGGTACCAGTTGGGGAAGTTATTACTACACAATGACACAGAAGAACAATGACTCCAAAGTGTGCACACTCTCACTCACTGTGCCTTTTAAATTATTTACAATGCTTCATTAATATTCTTACACAAGATTACTTAGGGTCTTGTTAGATTCATTGTTTACATACACATTCTGACAAGACTCTACTTTTTTATCTTTTTTGAATGAAACTCACATGAAAGTAACTTTCTCCTAAGCTGGGGAGGTATTTTATGTTTGGAATGTTAGCACTTGTTCCTTTAAGATCTTTATTATTATGCTTATATTTCTAATAAAGAAGAAAAGCCATTCTTCAAATGTTGACTAGAGCTGTTCTTTGAGAGAAAAACAGAAGTGGCTTCCTTGGTAGCAAATATAACTAAAATCTTGTAGAGGGAATTGCCTCAAAACTGTGAAAGTGAGTATTCATCTGACAGATTAAAAATATTCTAGCCATGTTGCAATAAAATGGCTCGTTTTAAGGCTTAATACTTGGTTTCTTGAGGATATAATAGCTAAATCAGAAATGCAAAACATCTGAGAGGAATTTGCCTAATAAATAAAAATAGTAATGTCCTCTCCAGTGTCTACAAAGACCTCCAACAGAACAAGAAAGAAGGGGAAGGCAAGTTTATCAGTAGTTCAACTAAAAAAATATCAGCATTGCTTCTAATGCTTTTAGGAGGGTTTTGAATTTTATTGAAACTACTAGTTGGCAATACAGGTAATGCAGCCAACTGCTAGTAAGACTACCCTTCAAGTCATACTGATTCCTTATCCTATTCCTATTACTGCATTAGGGCCAAAACTGTAACTTGCACAGACTGTCTGTCAGTGTGGAGTGAACAGTTTACCTTGCAAACTAATATAAGAATAATATGCTCCTTTCACATGTTGTTTTATTGAGAATTTGTAGCACTTTTAGATGATATTACATACATACTGATCATTCTATTCTTTTTCTATTTTTCAACAGGGAGAAAAGGAATTTGCCATTTACTCCTATTCTGGCATCTGTTAATCGCCTTGTTTGTTACCACCTAGGAACAGTAGCAAAGGGGTCTTTCATTATCACACTAGTGAAGATACCACGAATGATTCTTATGTATATTCATACACAACTCAAAGGAAAAGTAAGATAAATATTCTGTTTTGTTACTGAAATTCATGGCCTGACATGTTTACAGCTAATTTAATCTGCATAGGAGACTGGAAGTCTTGTTTTGGGTCTTTAAAGGAGGGCAGGACTGAGGGGGACTGCTTAAGTTACCACCTGAGTATGGGTTACTGAAACACAAAGGAATGTTGTTTTCTTAAGATTTGTTGGGTTTACTCTTTGTTTTCCCACATTTTGTGCTTTCCTAGGAAAATGCTTGTGCTCGTTGTATGCTTAAAGCCTGCATCTGCTGCCTTTGGTGTCTAGAAAAGTGCCTGACTTACTTAAATCAGGTAATATTTTCAATAGTTGTTTTTTGTAAGGGCTGATGAGAGAGAGGGAGAGAGAGAGAGAGAGAGAGAGATTCCCAGAATGCAGTCTGAGGCAGACACATATGTGTTATACTTTGGAACTGGATTTGAATAACAGCACTTCAGTCTTGTCTCCATTACTGAAATTACACTGCAAATCACGACATTAGTCATTGTTTATATTGCAAAGGTGAAAAGTAGCCACTATTCATCTTTGTGAATATGGTATCTCAACTTTCTTGTTTAGTGGTTGGAGACATTCCCACTTATGTCCACCCTGTCAAACTACATCTGAATTTCAGAATATGTTTGCTATGAAAAGAGAACAAAGCTTTTCTAGGTGTAATATTTAAGGTTCACACAATTGAAAAACTGTATATAACATCAAATTGTCATCGTCATCTATGAAGTGGGAAAAGAGTTGCAAGTTGCGACACAATAGCTGGGCAGACCCCTTTGTAAAAGAGGTTTTATTGGCCTGTGGTTCCATCTTTGTTAAGTACATCTATATCTCTAATGTCTTTTTGACTGTTGTTCATTCTTTTGTGGAAATTGTGGAAATATAGAAAATAAAATCAGAAGAAAGCAGGCAAAAAACCTCCGTGTAATCCTTAAAAATTATCCTGGTTAACCATGAATGCAGTGAAGTATCTAGAAATTATCTTGGTGGACTTGTATGACTCTAATATTTCCAGAAGATTTTTTTCTAAATACTTAATTGCTGTAGTTGTACCAGTGCTTACCTCCTCCTGCAGACAAATTGTAAATTCTGTTTAATTAGTTTTTTGGAATAAACTTGTTAATGCATAAATGATGAGAGAGGAAGAAGAATAATAGTAATTCTCTACCTTGTATCTTCTGTCAGCTGGTAGATACTGCTTGATTCAACAATTCTCAAGGGAATCTTTGTCATTAGCATCATATGACTTATATGACTTATTCAGAAGTTATATCTTCTTCTCCTCTCCCCTCCTCCATCTAAAATACCTGATCATTCCATGAATAAATCTTCAATTTCCTTTTCCCAGAATGCATATACAGCCACAGCTATCAACAGCACTAACTTCTGCACCTCAGCAAAGGATGCCTTTGTTATTCTAGTGGAAAATGCTTTGCGAGTGGCTGCCATAAACACAGTTGGGGATTTTATGCTATTTCTAGGAAAGGTATGTCTGCATACAGTTTTTATATATACAGCTGTTAATGGACTTACATAGTAGCAAGCTATCCTGGTTCAGCTAGGATAGGGTTAAGTGTCCCCAGCAGAGAGGCTTCAGCTAGGATAGGGTTAAGTGTCCCCAGCTTGGCATCGCGGGAAGTTTTTCCTTTGTGGCTTTGGTCACGGGAATCAGGTGCGCAGGCTGTCTGTAACCATTGTGGTATTTCTCTGCACATCTTTTGTCTTGTTTATTGTTATTACTGTTTATTGTTGTTATCATTGCTACTTTGTTGTTCAGATTATCACACTGTTGTATTAAATTTCTTCTTATTTTAACCCGGGGTTTGTGCCCTACTTGTGTCCGAGGGTGGGGGAGGGACAACACCAACGTGGTCTCTGGTCCCAGCAGGGCTTAAAACTATCACAGCCTTTTTGGCACACCAATGTGGGACACAAGAGGGTTGAAATAAGAATCAAAAAGGGACAGACCCTGACCAGAGTGTGTTAGAGCAATCTGTTAGGTGTAATTTTTCTGTTTGTATTTGTACTGTTTGATAAGAAAATGTTTGCAATGCTGGCCCACTTGCTTGCTTGGTGGGGCTGGATTAATCCTTATATCCAGTGTATGATCACAGTGCTGATGTTTGTTGTTGTTGGAAAATGTATAAAGGGTCTTATTTTGATGTACTGGCTATTGACTGCTTACAATGTGTTTGTATCGCTGTTTGTGGGGGCAGGCTGGTACCTATTTGCTACCTGGACTTTTGTTAGGGGTCTCACCCCCTCTATGGGTGAGCCAGGGGAAGAAATCCTCTTGGTTTTGGGGAGTTTCAGTTATCCTTGGGGTGTTCAGGCCGATGTATTTGCAGCACAATGTTTTCTGGGTGTCTGCCAGATCTTGTTTTGGGCCATGCAGCACTTCTTTAACAACAGCAGCACCGGAAACCTGCCCCAGGTCAGATAATAGTGAGTTGCAAGGGGTGTGGGAAAAGATGGGCAAACGCCTGAGTTGGTGGGCACCTCCAATGCTTTGGAATTTCACTCCTGAACAAATGCAAAGCCCTGAAAAGCTGATGGAGTGCTTAGAAAGGGTGTGTTACCAATCTGGCAAAACCCAGGAGACACAACTCGCTGCAATGTGTTCGGGACTTGCCCATGCCTACCGTGTCCTCTTTAATAACACTCACTGCTCTCAAGGGGGAGAAAGGGCTGCAGGATCTGAGAGTGAACTTACTTGTACAGGAGCTGGGCTGGGAGGACAGGCAGAGCCAGTTTCAGTTGCCTCCACCAGCACAGCAGCTGAGCCAGAGAGCCAGCCAATGCTGGTATCAGTCGCCCCGATACAGAAAACAAAATATACCAGAAAGTCTGTTTGCAAAGTGAGGGATGGGGAAGACCCAGGCCCAGCACGGGAACAGGAGGAAGGGCCAGAGGTGATTGTCCAATCTCTATACCCGACTGAATTGCAAGGTATGAGGAGAGATTTCGGCCGCCTGCAAGGCAAGCAGATTTGCACCTGGCTGCTCCCATGCTGGGACAATGGACCAGTGCTTTTGAAATGGAGGGGAGAGAGCCAAGCAGCTGGGATCTTTGGCCAAGGATGCTGGCATTGATAGGAAAACAGGGAAACAGACTCAAACCCTCAGCCTTTGGAAGCGAATCCTGCTCAGTGTGAGGGAGAGGCACCCTACAAGGATGATATCCTATGTCAGCTAAGCAAATGGACCAGCATTGAAAAGGCATCCAGAACCTCAGGGAACTGGCTGTGTTTGATATGATCTATGGTGATCTGAATGATGATCAGTCACCCATGGACCCAGAACAGGTCCCTTGCACACACCTGATGTGGCAAAAGTTCCTGAAGAGCGCACCAGAAGCACACTCGAAAGCACTGGCAATAGTGTCCTGGTGGACAGACACCCACACTCTAACAGTGGATGGAGTGGTTGGCAAGCTCCGGCAATATGAGGGAAATCTCCCTTCATCTCAATATTCCTGGGCCTCAGCTGTGGAGGAACTGTCTCAGAGACTCCAGAAAGTGGAAGAGGACATGTCCGACATTCCACTTGCACGGGCTGATGTCTCAGCCATTAGAAATAAACATTTCCCCACCCAAGAAAAAGGCAGTAGAAGGCACACACCACGAGGCACCCTGTGGTTTTTCCTCCATGACCATGGAGAGAACATGAGGAGGTGGGATGGACACCCACTGGCGCCTTAGCTGCACGAGTAGAGCAGCTGAAAGGGAAGGCCATCGCAAAAGGGGAGTCCTCCAAGAAAAGCGCAGCTCCAGTGTCCAATTAGAAATCCTCCAGACAGAATAGAATGGCCAGCGTTATGTCTGACCCTCTTGAGGGGACCAGTAAATCATTCTTACAAGAAGTGAGTGATGATGAGCAGGATTAGAGGGGCCCTGCCTCCAGCCAGGTGGAGGAAAGGAATAATCGGATTTACTGGACAGTGTGGATCCGATGGCCTGGCACGTCAGACCCACAAGAGTATAAGGCTTTGGTGAACACTGGTGCACTGTGCACCCTGATGCCATCGAGCTACAGTGGGCTTGAATCCATTTGCATCTCCGGAGTGATAGGGGGATCCCAACAGCTGACCCTATTGGAAGCTGAAGTGAGCCTGACTGGGAAGGACTGGCATAAGCACCCCATTGTGACTGGCCCAGATGCCCCGTGCATCCTGGGCATAGACTATCTCAGGAGAGGGTACTTCAGAGACCCAAAAGGGTACCGGTGGGCTTTTGGTGTAGCTGCCCTGGAGGAGGTTGAACAGTTGTCCACCTTACCCGGCCTCTCAGAGGATCCCTCAGTGGTGGGGCGGCTTAAGGTTGAGGAACAGTGAGTGCCGATTGCTACCAGGACGGTGCACCAGCGGCAGTACCGCACCAACCGAGATTCCCTGGTCCCCATCCATCAGCTGATCCGTCAACTAGAAAGCCAGAAGCTGATCAGCAAAACTCACTCCCCCTTCAACAGCCCTATATAGCCAGTGAGAAAGCCTAATGGCGAATGGAGGCTAACTGTGGACTACCATGGCCTGAATGAAGTGACGCCAGCAATGAGTGCTGCAGTGTCGGACATGCTAGAGCTCCAGTATGAACTGGAGTCGAAGGCAGCCAAGTGGTACGCCACGATTGACATTGCTAACTCGTTCTTCTCCATTCTGATAGTGCCACAGTGCAGGCCACAGTTTGTGTTCACTTGGAGAGGCATCCAGTACACCTGGAATCGATTGCCCCAGGGGTGGAACCACAGCTCCACCATTTGCCATGGACTGGTCCATACTGCACTGGAGAGAGGTGGGGCTCCAGAACACCTGCAGTACATTGATGACATCATTGTATGGGGGAACACAGCCGAGGAAGTCTTTGAGAAAGGGAAGAAGATAATTGAAATCCCCCTGAAGGCCGGCTTTGCCATTAAGCAAAAGAAAGTTAAGGGGCCGGCAAGGGAAATTCAATTCCTAGGAATAAAATGGCGAGATGGGCGTCGCCACATCCCAATGGAGGTGAGAAACAAGATCACAGCCATGGCCCCACCAACCTCTAAAAAGGAGACTCAGTCTTTCCTGGGTGCCGTGGGGTTCTGGAGGATGCACATCCCCAACTACAGCCTGATTGTGAGCCCTCTCTACCACGTAACCCGTAAGAAAAACGATTTTGAATGGGGCCCTGAGCAACAACAATCTTTTGAACAGATTAAGCGGGAGATTGCCCAAGCAGTAGCCCTCGGGCCAGTGCGGGAAGGGCAGGAGGTTAAGGACATGCTCTACACCGCAGCTGGGGAGGGTGGCCCTACCTGGAGCCTCTGGCAGAGAGCACCTGGGGAAACCTGAGGCCAACCTCTAGGCTTTTGGAGCCGGGGATACAAAGGCTCTGAAGCTAATTACACACCAACTGAGAAGGAGATACTGGCAGCATACAAAGGAGTTTGGGCTGCCTCAGAAGTGGTCGGCACTGAAACACAGCTCCTCCTGGCACCCCGACTGCGGGTGCTGGGGTGGATGTTCAAAGGAAAGGCCTCCTCCACACATCATGCAACAGATGCCACGTGGAGAAATGCGTTGCATTGATAACACAACGGGCTCGAATAGGGAACCCCAGCCGCCCAAGGATACTAGAGGTGATCACGAGCTGGCTGGAGAGCAAAGATTCCAGGATGTTACCAGAACAGGAGGTGACGTGCTAAGGAGGCCCCTCCATATAACAAGCTTCTGGATGAGGAGAAGCGATATGCCCTGTTCACTGATGGGTCTTGTCGTATTGTGGGAGACCATTGACAGTGGAAGGCTGCTGTATGGAGTCCCACACGACGAGTCACTGAAGCTACTGAGGGACAGGGTGAGTCAATCCAGTTTGCAGAGGTGAAAGCCATCCAGCTTGCTTTGGATATTGCTGAGCAGGAAAAGGGGCCAAGGCTTTACCTCTACACCAGCTTGTGGGCAGTGGCGAATACCCTGTGGAAATGGCTGCAGCAATGGAAACAGAACAACTGGCAACGTAAGGGTAAAACCGTCTGGGCTGCTGAAGTATGGCAGGACATTGCAGCCTGTGTGGAGAACCTCGTTGTGAAGGTGTGCCATGTGGATGCCCATGTACCCAAGAGTCGGTCCACTGATGAACATCGACACAACCAGCAGGCAGACCAAGCTGCTAAGATTAGAGTGGCTCAGGTGGACTTGGACTGGCAGTGCAAAGGTGAACTGTTCATAGCCCGGTGGGCCCATGAGACCTCGGGCCACCAAGGTAGAGATGCAACAAACAGGTGGGCTCGAGACTGAGGGGTGGACCTCACCATTCACACCATTGCAGAGATCATCCACGGATGTGAGACGTGTACTGCAATCAAACATGCCAAGCAGGTGAAGCCCCAGCAAAATGGAGAGCAATGGCTGAAATACAGATATGGAGAGGCCTGGCAGATCGACTACATCACACTGCCACAGACCTGCCAAAACAAGCACCACGTACTCGCAATGGTGGAAGTAACCACTGGATGGCTGGAAACTTACCCAGCACCCCATGCCACCACCCAGATCACCATCCTGGGCCTTGAAACCCAAGTCCTGAGGCAACACGGCACCCCAGAGAGAATTGAGTCAGACAACGGGACCCACTTCTGAAACAACCTCATAAATGCCTGGGCAGAAGAACACGGCATCGAGTGGGTCTACCATATCCCCTACCACGCACCAGTCTCTGGGAAGATTGAGTCCTACAATGGACTGTCAAAAACCACACTGAAAGCACTGGGAGGTGGGACCTTCAAAGACTGGGACACACATCTAGCAAAGGCCACCTGGCTAGTGAACACAAGAGGATCTGCCAGTCGAGCTGGCCCGGCTCAGTCAAAACCTCCACGTGCTGTAGATGGGGATAAAGTCCCTGTGGTGTGCATGAGGAATATATTGGGGAAAATGGTCTGGTTTAGTCCTGCGCCAGGTAAAGGTAAAGGCAAACCCATCCATGGGATTATTTTTGCCCAAGGACCTGGGTGTCCCTGGTGGGGATGCAGGACAATGGAGAGGTCCGATGCATACCACAGGGGGACTTGATTCTGGGTAAGAACATGCCATGAATTATGCTGTGCCTTTGTAAATTGTTATTTTGTTATTATTAACTGCTAAATGGCAGCTGGACATAATGCAGATGGTATAGAATAAAGGGGTGGATTATGTCCTGGTTCAGCTAGGATAGGGTTAAGTTTCCCCAGCAGAGAGGGGGAAGGCATCTCCAGCCATTTTATTCATACCATGCTGACGTCAGGTCCGGCCTGGCAGTGTGGGATGTTTTCTTTTGTGGCTTTGGTCGCGGGGAGCACGCAAGCGAGCTGTCTCTATCCATTGCAGCATTTCTCTGTATATCTTTTGTCTTGTTTACTGTTATTACTGTTTATTGTTGTTATCATTGCTACTGTTGTTGTTCAGATTACCACACTGTTGTATTAAATTTCTTCTTATTTTAACCCGGGGTTTGTGCCCTACTTTTTCCGAGGGTGAGGGAGGGACAATGGCAATGTGGTCTCCGGTCCTGGCAGGCCTTAAAACTATCACACAAGCTTTCCTTAGCAATGGCTTGCATCCCAAATACAAAATGCATTAAAATTCCTGTTTCTTAACATGCACTTCATCACATTTAACTGCATCTTATCAGGACGAGACTGTCCAGGATAGGGAGGATAAAAAATGATCTACTTATGTTAAGTAACAGTGATTAGAAAGGAGTAGCTGAAGATGATGACACCTTTTGCATGAATTTATTTTCAAGGAGTCAAGAGAAAAGCTATTATAAATTCTAAGGTTTTGATTGGTTTTGTGGTTAAAACCTAGAATTGTAAGTAATGGAACTATTTATTCTAAATTCTGTTTAGTAAGGGCTCTGCAGGTTTATTTTGAAAATTGACACATTATTGATCACCATTTATGACAAAATTGTATTGGAAGGTAGTACAGAAGCCTGCTGTGAGGAACTGCCAGCTTAAGCAACTGAGTTACCTCTACTATGAGAATTAAAAGGAGACTAGAATAATTGCTGCTGTCAGTCAGCTTCTTGGGTCTCCAACTGATAGAGGTATACTTTATGGAAACCTAATCCAGTGAGTTATTCTCATCCTTTGAATTATTTTGTGCCATTATTTACTAAAACAATTAATACCCATCTACTTGAAATGATGAATGCCTAAGTGTTAAAACACTAGTTAGATTGAACTGTCTTCCTTCTTGCATTCCTCTACTTTTATTAAGTGGGCTGAACTTTTAATCCTGTAATTAGGTCAATAAGACGTGAGAAGAAATAAACACATAATGAAGATATAGGTGCTTGGGAGACCATGAAATTGCATAACATGGTTTTATGGAAGAGTCTGAAAGGTGTTAGGAAACATTTCCCTGAAAAGATGTGTTTCAAATTATTGGAGAAGTGCAGGTGACAGAAATGTTATAATGAACAGTGCAGCGTATAAAAAATTTTATCAGTTAAAACAGTGCTAGGCCTGTCTCCTCTACCAGTCCAACCTGGTATTTTCATAATACAGTAAAGCTGACCTATATTACAGTTTTTTGTTTAGCTGCAGTTCATAATAATAGGTTCAGAAATGTTCAAAATTTTGAGTTGGCACAACAGTTATTTTAGTCCTTTTGTTATTCCCAAAGACCAAACTGATACCCAGTGGAATATCTATTAGGGCCTTGCACATAGTGTAGCTCTGCGGAGACTGTTACATGAAATGCCTTACATGAATTCTGATTAATTGCCCCTGTATGGAGATGAGACAGATAAAACAAGATTGGAGGTTGTTTCCACCAGCAAAATGAAAAAACATAACAATCCTCCTAAGGATCTACCTTCTTTCCCCCCACAACCAAAAATCAATTGCCTGTTAATTGATTGGTAGCATCAGGTTCTAGGGGTTTTATAATTGACAGGATAGGGAATTTTTTACAGGAATAATCTATGACAGCAGGATATAAATGTAATTTGCTCTGAAAAATACCTTTAGTGTAGAAGGATGTGTTTGAAACTTCTGATTTACATGTGGTGGACCAATGGATAAATTGTCATGTACACCTGCGACATAGGTTAAAAAAATCAAAAATATCTAAAGGTTTCTGCCATTAGAGTTGTTTACTGTTTTCTTCTTCAGGTACTGATTGTCTGCAGTACAGGTTTGGCTGGGATTATGTTGCTGAATTACCAACGAGATTACACCATCTGGGTGCTACCACTCGTCATTGTCTGCCTCTTTGCATTCCTGGTTGCTCACTGCTTCCTTTCCATTTATGAAATGGTTGTAGATGTCCTTTTCTTATGTTTTGCCATCGATACAAAATACAATGATGGGAGCCCTGGGAGGGAATTCTACATGGATAAAGTTCTCATGGTAAGTTTCCCCTTGCTCTCTGTGTCTAATGATATGATTCCATATAATGGTAATTTGACAGTGTAATGAGCTCACTAGCTGAGTTTAATACAGTCCTTTTTTACCTGGGTTACCTCACTGTCTTGTTTATGGCTTGATCATTAAACTGTGTGATATGATGAGCAACAGATAAGTAATGATGTTTCCTTCCCGTGGCATCACTGGTATTGGCTTCTGTTTGATGGCTGTTAGATGAGCCATCTCATCTTGCAGAATCATACTCTTGGGTATCATTTCTTCTACGTGATAACAGTGCAGAATGGAAAGCAGCAAAACAAGGAGCCCCATGTGTAGTCTAGAGGAAGACTCTCACGACTTCTTAGTGTAATAATTTTTCTGATTACTTTTTGGAAAACCATGCCAAGAATTTAACATTTTTTTTTCGTAGAACACTACAGAATCAAAGTATATAATAAATAAAATGGTAGCTGATGAGTAGGTTTTTAGCACAGAATAAGAGTAAAATGCAGAATGTTGTCTTAGAAGACAGCATAGATAAATAATAAAAGCATTGTGGGTTCCTTCAGTCAGCAGCTGATATCACAGAACACCAAGCAGCTAAAGTTTTCTGAAATCTACTACAGAATGCTTGCCTTTAAGAGAAAAAAAATACATAAAACTGAATTAGCACATTTGCTAATCTTCATGAATAGGTGATTATGATCCAGTGAAAAATGTAAGACTTTCAACTGAGGGAAGTTAGGAAAATCAACAAGACCTAGCAAGTCATTATCTCCAGTTGGCTCTTTTTAATGGAGTTCTATTATTACACACAGGGATAGGATGTGATAACTGGGATCTCAGGATTTTGGGTGGTTTGGGTTTTTTTGACAACCACCGTTCTACCTTCCCCATGAATGAGAGCTTATGTGGTAAATGTGAAAGTTTTAACAGCACACAAAGCACATACCTGTCTTCTAGAATTAAATGAGGCAGACCCTTGTGGCTATTTGGCAGGCTTTTTTGATACTTCTTGATACTTTGTGGACAAGAGAAATGGGAGGAGCAAGTTGTTGTTGACATTTTGAGCAGTTACATCTTGAAGTTTTGACTTGAGATTTGATTTTTGGAGTCTGCTCTAAAAAAACACTTTTCACTTCAATATTGTTTTTTAGGAGTTTGTGGAGAATAGTAGGAAATCTATGAAAGAAGCTGGCCGAGGAGGTGGAGCTGAGGGCAGAGAGCTAAAACCAATGGTAGGTGCAGATGAGGAGGTGGCGATCCTCCAAGAGTTTCACTTTTACTTCTTCTCCCTATTTGTCTTTACTGACTGTGCTTCCTCAGGAGAAGTTTTTGTTCTCTGTATCACTCAAGATGTTCTGCTTTTTCTGTTTGTGAGCTTGCCTATCACCTGGATGGCAGAGTTTTTGTCACAGCTGAGACCATCTCCTGTAAAAGTAAGATGAAAGGAAAAGTGTCATATGAAACAAAAGCAGTATCATTTCATTAGGATTATTAGTGCATGCTATGCAGTATACACAGACAGCCCCAATTGCTGAGGACTAAGATGGCTCTGGAATTCATTTTGCTATTCTGACTTTAATCCACTTTTCAGCTTTGAGCTGAAAAATCTTTATTCATCTTACATGCACTGTAAAAGCCTGAAGAACTCTACTGAGCACATCTATTGTTGCAGAGTAGAACCAGGCATTTAAAGCTCTCACCAAATTATTTTATACAGTGCCAAGGAATTGGACACAGTGATTCCTTTCAACCTGCTCAAATGACATTTCTCCCAGTTGTTTGTTTTTATTGCCAACTACTTATGTTGCTTGTCTTTTGTGTGCTCTTTCCATATCACACTGTCAGATACATAGACAGTGAACAATGCATCATTTATGCTTCTGCAGCCTGTTTTACTTATGGTGTGCCTGTTAGGAAGGCATTGCATGTCTGAGTAGCCTGGAATAAGGAACAACTATACATGGTACAGATAACAGATAGGAGGATGAGTTTGGAAGGTGGAGAACTGAGAGCGTATGATGGAGAGCCAGGCTGGGCAAGGTATGACTTGTCATTGTGCAATATGACTTTGTGAAATGAAGTATTTTCCATCATTATTTTCTCACAGTATTTGGGGCCTCAATCAGTTCCTTACCATGGGGACAATTTTTTAAAATAATGGAATCTAATATACTAATGGTAGAAATTTTTTTTCCAATGATGTATATGAAGCTATGTTGCATGAGCACTTTTTGGCCAAGCTGGAATGGGTTCCTGCTCTAGAGTGGGTAGATATGAGGCTTTGTGTGTTTTACTATTTCACTATAGCATACCAGTATCTAGATTTGCTTATGCCTAAACACTGCTGTGTTTGTACATCTAAAACCCTAATTCTATGCTCATTTACTGCTTTCTTCTGGGAGTAATTCTAGCTGTTCAAACAGGCACTGATGTTGGGATTTTCAGAGTGGTCTAAATGCTGTAGATGTAAAGCTGCTGTTAAAATGTTAGAATTGGCTGTGCAAACCCACTAGTCATATGCACAAAAAATCTCAGTCCAAAATTTTATTATGTTAATCTCTAATTCAAACTGATTTACCTTAAGTGGTTTTCCACTTATATTCTTGTTAGTGCTAGTACAGACCATTACTTACACTTTTGTACATGACTGCCTAAAGCTTGGATGTGAAAACCTTTATTTACCCCTACCTTGTAAAAGGACAAACCAAGTATGTACAAGCCAAAGGGTGGTCCTGTTCTTTTAAGAACTTGACTCTAGGTGCTTGAGCCTGGTACTGGCTGAAAGTCCCTCCTAGGACTGCTGGAGAAGATATTAAGCACTTGGGGCACAGCCTGGGTATCACCTGCTGAATTACTCCCAGTTCTGCTGCTCATGTGATTGTCTTGTTTGGAACTGATTGGGCCTTGTTTTCTCAAGTGATCTTCCATTTTTGGGCATTCAGCTCCTGTTGAATAGATCCTGAAATACTGGGATCTCACTTCCTGACAAGGACGAGACACAGCAGTCGCCTCCATGAAATTTCTGATACCTTTCCCCGAAGCATTGATAAAAGCTTCAGTTATATTTAGAATAGGATCATTCATAAGTCTATTCTGTACTAGTAGTGCCTATAGGCCCAAAACTGGGTGCCTGAAAATTAGATTAATTTTTCTTCTTTTTTGAAAACTAGAATCTTTACTGGTTTGCTTCAGTCTCCTTGAAATGGAAATATTTCTTAGACATGACAATTAGTTCTAAAAGTGAAATGCCCTAAGTGTGGTTGTATATTAATTAGGTGTTAATAGCAGAGATGAGGAAACATTTAGGACCTTCTGTTCTTGTATCAAATCACAAGAAAAAACCACCACTTTTCAGGCTTCTTTCTTTATGGTTTCCAGTGACCCCTTTGACTCAGTTTCTCCTTGTCCTTTGGCATTTATCTAAGACTGTACTGTATGACTTTGTTTTCTAGGCCTCTGGAGCAAGTTCATCTTGAAACTAGCCAGCCATATTGGAACCCATTGACATTCCAAAACAGTATATATATACATATATACATACATATATATATATATATATATATATATATAAACAAACAGCCAAAATCAGAGAAAAGGAACAGGGATTTAATACTTTTTTTAACAATTATTTTTGTGAAACATGTACTCTTTTCATACGGGTGGCTTTTATGAGCAGCTTTATCATTGTTCATTTTTTAAATTATTCATGGTCATGGAAATGTTGATTCTTATCTGCGTAATACTTTAAAATCTGGAAGAGGTATCATTGTAAAGATAATCTGAAATTATGACTGAGTTTAGAGACAGATTTCCCATGACATTACTAGTCTGCTGAGAGTTTTACTTGTTTAGTTTGTTTAAATTTGCATTAAATTCAGGACAGTTACATGCAAGGAAAACCCTCAAATCAAGAAAAGTCTCGAATATAGTTTTTCAAAGGTAGTTTCAGTGAGCGTTCATTCAGTTTGAACAAGTTTGTAAGCAGTCATTTTACTTTACAGCCCTGGTCGGGCACAGTTTTGTTTATTGGTATCAGATATCACAATAACCACTGCTCAGGTATTCAGGTATGTGGGAGCCCTTGCATCTCCTATTAAACAGAAACTACAAAATGGGGACAGATAATTTTTATATGCAATTAACTTCCTGGTTTACCCGACTTACCCCTCATACCCCTTGCCCTCTATCCTCCCCTTGAGTTCAGTATCCTCCTTCACACTTCAGCAGTGCTCCTTTGAAGGGTAATGATTCTCCATATGAGCAATTGAAATAACAGATTGTTAAAGCTCAGTCTTAGCCATACTCATGATTAATTCATGACTAAACATAAAGATGCTGAGGGTGGGAAGAGAAATGAACTGTACTACTGTACAAAAAGTACTGTATGCTTCATTTCATTTAATGCCAGAGAGCTCTGGGAGGTGGAAGGAATCATTCCTTGCCTGTCGTTTTATCCATATTTGTATGTACTGTAGCAGGCGGCTAAAACAGGAAAGGGCAGAGAAACATTTCTTTGGAAGTATAACTGCCAGGATAGTTATCTGAAGTTATCAAATAATGACAAGAAAACATGCTTTTTTATTATTATTAGAAACTTACATTTCTTTTCAGTCTGGAAGCTCACCAGATATGAATGCTAATATTCAATTGTTCAGCATATTGTAATGGTAAATGCTTAAAAGTGTATTTGCTAAGACTTCATGATCTGTCTGTGCTATATACTCCTTTTGTTACAATTTTTTTAAAAAAACTATTTTTGTTAATGTAAAGTTAATATTTCTGAGCAAAATTTTTAAACTTATTGCACTAAATACAACCTCTGTAGAAATAAATAATGCCTCAATGGTTCAATCACTCCATTCAAGAAAATCTTTTGAAAGAGAAAAGTCCTTCTACAGAAGCTTTGTGATGGAGTAAATGCACAACTCGTGTTATCAAAGTTTAATAAGTAAGCAATTATCTCTGTTTCCTTTCAGAGGATCAGACTTTTAAATTGCTGCTGAAGGTTTAAAAAAAAAAATGTAGTATCGTGTAGCTAACCAGTGCTCTTTTGGCAGTAGTGAAATATTTCACTTCTGCTTCTAGTCATTTGATAACAAATTTGTTTAGTTTTCTTTCGGTAAGCTAATTAAAAGGATTTACTCTTTTCATATCACAGAACCCAAGCTATACGAAAGGTATGAAAATAAAAATATATTTTGAAATTATAGCTGCTGGGGAGGCAGGGAGACGGAATTATCCAATCCTGCAAGCACTTAGACACACTCATTTAAGTGAACCATATTGGTAGCTCAAATGACATCAGGAGGGCTCTCTAAGTATGGAAGCTGTAAATTACATATCCACATAATTGCTAACTGGACTAGAGCTTCAACTTAGGGATTCAGACAGGAGCACTGGCAAGGCCTCTCAGTGCAAGAGGTCAGACTATCTAGAAGAAGCACTGGAGCAGCCTTAAGTTTGTGGAGAGGAGGCATTTCTTCTGTACCAGTGTCTAAGACAGCAGTGGCACTGAACACTGGTATTTGTGTAGATCAGTGGGGTTTAGCAACAGAAATTTAAATCCAGACTTAGACAAATCCTAGAAACTAGATTCCAAGGCTAAGAGACTTACCATGTACCCAGTTATTTCCAGAGTAACTGATTTCCATCTTGTTTGGAAGTTACTGTGAAGCTGCTTTGATTGAAGGTGCTTGGAGTCTGCTCCTTTTGACAACAAATTTCTGCCATGACCAGTTCTGCAAGTTTGTGTTCTCTGCTCACTGGAGGTCCTGGGTGGGGGCTTTTCTCTGTAATTGCAGCTAGGATTGCAGTTGGAAACAAATTTTGTATTTTTGTATGACTTGACTGTGCACCATTTTTATAGCAGTTTATCCTGTCTTAAAAATAAATGTTTTATTTACATGGTATTTAAAAGATACAGGCAACACTTTTCTATGGGTAGTTATTCTATATATCATTATAAAGTTCTTAAATCGTGTACACCATTCTTGAATGTATAACCATCATGCAGAGGTTTTCAGTCATGCCAAAAGGGCATTCCATCCACACACAGGATTCCAGTGGCCCTTCAAAGGCCCTTTTGAACATCCTTTGAAGTTCATTTGCAACCAAGCTGCAAGCTGCCCTCTTCCAGCTCTGTCTTGTGCAAGGAGATAAGCAGAAGACTGATGTCTGAAGAGACAACTTTTCAGGACAAATTTAGACTCTGCTTTCCCTCCACAGTGGGATAGTGGAGTGAGAGAACACTTGACATGTAAATCCCTAGTTGGCAGTAGAGGTGCTGGGGTCTGCCAGTTGTGATGGATTAAATACTTTTTTTGCCAGCTAGTTATTAAAGGCAATATATTGACTGCTTTGTGAGAAGCATTCTAGACTAACCAGAGGGTGATGCTGCACTGGGAATAACATTACAGGAGGAGCAGATGAGACAGCTGAGACAGAGAAATCATCTCCTTGGAAAGTCCACTGAACCAGGTAGTGCTTGAGGACTAGAGATTTGGGATGAACAATTTGAGTTTAAAAATCAAGCCGGTGGTATTAATGGTTCCCAGCATTTGGTTTCTGCAGACAGTCCAGATCATAGCCTCTGGAAAAGGAAAAAAGCATGCCATTCTTTAAATTGTTCATTTTTTCCCACATTATTTTACTCTTTCATTTGGAAGTTGAGCAGGCATCTGTCATCTTTATTGCTTCTTCCAGCCCTAGAGAATATTTTTTTGTTGTTCTTTTAGCTCTTATTTCTGTATTGCTCTTTAAGCAAAAGGAGGGCCAGCGTTGCAGCTTCCCTTTGTCCCACCAATCTTAGCACATGCCTCCTCACCTTCCTGAGGCAATGATTCAGGATATCACCTGGACTTAATGGGATGGGAAGCAGATGCTGAGCTGAAGTTCTGAGGTGTGTTTTTATTTTGTATGAAAACACTCCATCATTCTGCTTGCTGTGGTAAGGAGTGCAGACCCTTCACTTCTACGGTTTCAGTGCTGTGCCACAGCTAGACTAAACATATGGTATGGCCAGCGTAGAATTGCATCTTCAGCCTTCCAGTAGCTTGTGTTCACACTCCTAGCTGCCAAAAACAGGATAGGGATTTACATGTGACCTTAGCTTGGCATGGTAACCCAAGCACTTTCTTCATCAGGAAAGAATATCCTAAAAGGGAGAACTTAGATAACCCAATTACACATTGAGGTGGGTTGACCCTGGCTAGCAGGTAAGTCCCTACTTTGTTGCTTGCTCAGTTCCCCCAACAGGATGGGAGAGAGCATTGGAAGGACAAAAGCACTGCGATAAAGACAGTTTATTAAGTTAAAGGAAAAAAAATAAATCCAAGTGATGCAAAGGCAATCACTCTCCGCCTCCCACTAGCAGACCAATGCCCAGCCAGTCTCCAAGCAACTTACTTTGGAACCACACACACATACACCTCCACACCCCCACACCTCTAATTTTATTGCTGAGTATGACATCATATGATATGGAATATTTCTTCAGTGTTCAGGTCAGCTGTCCTGGTGCCCTCCCACTCCCTTGCCCAACCTCAGACTACTCTGCTGGGGTGGCAGTGTGAGAAAACAGAGAAGGCCTTGACCCTGTGCAAGCACTGCTCAGCAATAGGTAAAACGTTGTGTTACCAACACTTTTGGTCACAAATCTAGAACGCAGCACCATGCGGGCTGCTGTGAAGAAAATTTAACTTCATCCCAGCCTAACCCAGTACACAGGTCCACTTACTCAAGAGTTAGTCCAGGACTTGCTCTCTCTGTACAGCACCTTCTCAGGGTGGATACTTCTTTCTGAAAGGGCTTTTTTTCGCAGTGGGCAATTAGCCTGCTCCGAAGTGCTCTCTTCCATGGAGGGAGCAGGGGATGCTAGCTCTTACTCTTTCAGCACAAAATGGGGATATAAAGCAAAAATGAGCCCTTTCTGTATCAGTGTTCTGGCAATTGAGCACCCAGTGTTAGAGACAACATACTTAATGTGCCCTCAGGGCATGCACTTCAGTGGTTTGCTCTCAGTGGTTATGATGTGTTCTACGAATGTGTGTTATAGTCAGAATAAAATGCATGTAGCAGGCATATACTCATCACCATCCAGTGATCATTTTGTTCTGAGTACATATTACATGCTGTATTGAACATGGCACAGTCCTATTAAGAAATACTTAAGATTTAAAAGTAGATACTGAACAGCATCTTTTTTTTTTTTTTTAATCATGGCTTTGCCTGTGCAGATACTGTTTACTGAATCTAAACATCACTGGTCCATTGTTTCTTGAACAGCTTGTGTGTCACATTATCACCACAGCAGTCCTATTTAATCTTTGGGGAAAAAAACACCTCCTGTTTCCCAAAACAAAACCCAACAGACTTATTTGAAGCATTTCTTGCACTCAGCTTGTTCGTTGGAATGATAGAAGTTTACTCTAATTCATTTATGAATGCTCTTTCAACTGTTTCATCTCTGCTGTTCTATCCATCACATAACAAGAGATTATGGAGACTAGTAAATTTGTATTTCTTGTGTTCTGTAGCACATACTGTTCTCAAGGTAGAGTTTTTCTTTTATATTTAGAGTGATGAGAGAAGAGATGAAACTTGTGATGTGAGTCATATATAAAAGGCAGAATTTCTGTTCTGGGATGGAGCTGTGATGTGTCCTGCAGTGTTTGCAAGCTGATGCAATCAAGCCAAAGCTCTTCAGAGACATTGAAATTATGAAAATATTTCTAGGGACAATAGGTAGCATGAATTCATATAAAAATACCCATTTGGAGGCTAAACTATCTGGTATTCATTTGACAGAGATCTGTTAAAGCAAAAAATCAGCAAACATCCCTCTCGGAGAGGTTCTCCCCTCTCTCATTGAGGTCAAGTCATCATATATGAATATGATGAGCAGAACTTGGTGTTTTAAGCATGTGGTACTTTTCTGTAGAAACAAGAGATTCCACTTAGAAACAAAATTTCAAGAATTCAGAGCAGAATTACCAGCTGACTTTAGCAGAACTAGTCTAATTTCAGTAACTTTAAAGACAGCTCTGGCCTCTCTAAGTATATGATGGAAGATGCTGGCAGCATAGGTGGCTACCATTCCTCAAACTCATTGAGTGAAATAGGGGCAGCTAGGGAATATTTCAGAAAGGTTTTGTGAGATTAGGAAGCTGGTTACTCCTGAAACTCAGCAGAAGTTGGGTGCTGACTGGAATTCCCACAGAAGTAATGATTTTTTAACTCTCAGATAAATACTGCGTGTTAGTATTGGTTGGGTCCCACACTGCTCAAACTGAAAGGGGAGAATATATCTCATTAAAAAAACAGTGCCACAGACAATGTCATAGTGTGTCCTAGGGGAGTGAGGGAGGAGAAAACAGGTTTTGTTTCTAATGTAGGCCAGAAAGCAGCTGCCAGAGGTTAGGTAGAGAGCACGATTTCACAGGTAGAAAATATTCTGTAGGATCTTCACAGTAGTTAAGAAAATTCACATTCTGATTCACAGACATCTCACAGCGACATCCCTTGTGCCCTGTTTTTATTTTGCTCTGGAGCTCTTCAGAGCAAGAAAGAAGGTGGAATCCTACACGTATAGAAAAGAATTACTTCTGTATAGTGGATTGTGTTGCTGATTATAGCAACTACCCTAAGGAAAAAGGAAAATCTTCTGAACGAATTTTAAAGGCTTGACAGTACTTGCATTGACACAGTCCATGAAAGCTTCATGTGGATACAAATTTTTCATCCTCTTTCACTCATACTTCTAACAGGGCAATCAAACGCCTGGAGTGGCTTAGTGATTTACATTGAATCAAGATCAACTAACAAGTGCTCCTTTTTCCAGTGGAATACCACCTCCTTTCTGAATGAGAAAAGTAAATGTGACACTGTTTATTGTTGTCTTGAGAACTTGAAATGTTTTATACTGCAAGCTGTGAATGCAGGAAAAGAAGGGAAATGAATAGTACTGATCTAATCTTAGATTTTCTGTGTAAACTGACATTGTGCCAGGATACTGATGCAAAACTGTATTTTAGTCTAAGAAATGTATAGATTTTTTAATGTATCAAAATAAAGTTTTTCTTTTTAAGTAAGAAAGAAGTTTGTCTGTCTTCTCTGCAAGGTGCTAAGCCTTTCTCTTCTTAGGAATACTGTCTCACATCCCTGAAAGCAAGCAGAGCCCATGAAATCTTTGCTCAAGCTTTGCTTTGCTAAGTGCCTGCCCTTTAGCTGAGTAGTGGTAGGGCTGGGCATGCCCTCTTGGCTCGGTTACAGTCCTGGTGCCAAGAAGAGCATTGTGATGCTAAAATCTTGTTGAGCTGGGTGGCATGAATGGGGCTTTGTAGAGCAAAGGTGGATGTTTTTGCTTTCTTTCTAACCTTCTGCTCCTCAGCTTCTCTCCTGGGGATAGGAAACTGCCCCTAACATTTTCACTCAGCACCAGCTTTTTTGGCTTCCCTGATATGTAGGCTACAGGGGCTGTTGAATGGTCAGTCCCACACAGAAGAGATTGCTAGTGTCTTCCCTGTCAAAGTAGAGGTTGCCATCACATATGTGCACAGAGTCCCTTGCTCATAACCCAGGATGCAAGACTTGGGACTGTTAAGGGAATCTCATTATGTAGCATGAGCTATGCAAACTGCACATCTGAGTGCAGCACCTCCTGTGGGGCTACCTCCTTGTTCTGCAAGGTCCTGTAGATGCGCCCACTCCCAAAGCAGGGTCCCTGTTTTACAGAGCTGTTGTAACTAACATGCTGAAGATGTATGGTATATAGAAGCAATTAATAACAGCACCAGTATAATCTTGCTAGCAGAGATATGTACAGGCACAAAGATACCTTCCCTTCTCTCTCTCCCATGGGCACAGCACATTTTTGCTTTCTTTACTGCCAGTTTTTTTAATAAACTAATAAATAAGTCAAGCTGAACCATGTTTTGTTGCTTGTATTACTCTTCACTGCAAACCATGTGAGCACAGCATTTGCATGAGATGGTTTACTTTATCTGGGAACCACTGCCACTTCTGAACCTGAGGCAGATCACTAAATACAGTTACGATGAAAAGGACCAGCCAGCCCATCAGGCAGGACCTCTGCACACAAGCAGGTTTCCATGCTGTGGACCCAAGTGTATTGCTGCATGTCTCAGTGTTTTGCACTTCCTCTGAAGGTATGTCCCCTTTGCTCAGTGTCTTTCTCATGGTTTATTAAGGGTGAGGCTGCTTGGCTAGATGGGTTTAGTTGCATGGAGCAAAAGAGACTCCAGAGATGCCCTTCTTCATCACTAGAGGTGTTATGGGCAGGAAGCACATCGCATACAGATTATGAAGACCCTGTCTGGTTTCCACTGGGTTTTGCCTGTGTCAGAACTGCAGAACAGGAGCTCTTTGGCTCTTCCCACCCTCTCCAGCAGTGAGGGACTGAAGTACTGTCTGGGGAGAGCAATGCTGATTCTCCTAGCTCTGAAACAAAAGTTTTGTGGCTTCCAAAGAAAAAATTAATGACAAGCCTAAAGGTGGGATGGGCTGGGATAATGAGAAAAGCATATACAGGGAGAACAAATGGGACATGGGACTTGAAGTGAAAAGAAAACCTGAGGGCACTGGGGTGGATTGGGCAAGAACACCCAGGAAGCTGTTAGTGGATATGAGAGCAGGGACCTGGAGACAGAGGACTGGAGCTGCAAAAGCAGGATTTGGCCTTCAGCCACAGAGTGGTTCCCACTGCCAAGACACTGCATGCAGTGAGCATGTACCTCTGAACACTAAGCCTCAGGATCTGCTCCCTGGCATCAGCAATTGAAGAACAGCACAGGCAGATGCCTCCACAGATACTGGCACCCTGAGCTGCCCTGCTCTCCCACCACAGCTGAAGGGCCAGCCTCCTTTCTTCCAGGACAGCACAGCTCCCTGTCTGCTGAAGGAGCTCTCCTGTCTTGTGAGGAGGATGGGTCCCTCTGTGTGCAACCCTCAGCATGCAGCAAACCCACTCCTCCAAGCCAGTGAGGCCAGATCCTGCACTGCTGAATTCTGGTGGGAGCTCCTCCCACCTGGGGCCACTGAAGAGCTGACTGAGTTTTAGTCGCTGGTATTTAGATGTTTAATGAAGATTAACTAGTGCCCAGGAAGAGATTATTTAGAATTCCTAATGATTATTTAAATCACGTATGTGTGAAATGGATGGAGCTTGCACTCCTGCACACAGAGCACCTAAAAAAGCTGTTTTTCTGACACCTGCTGCCATAATCTCCATCTAATGCTCAGTCCTTGTTTACCTTGGATATACTAAAAACAAAGTGGAAGAAAATTCAGTACCAGGGCAGATTTTCTGAGACTTTTGCTAGAGCAGTCAAAGTTACAAATAAAGCATAAGCCAGAAGCTGCTGAATTGTATTATCTAGCTACGTCAGCTGACAGTAATCAAGTGGGAGACAAATAAATGGGTGAGCATGTATTTCACACTGCAGTGGTTTGAAGAAGAAACCACAGGCAAAAAAAAAAAAAAAAAAAAAGTCTGCTACAGTCCCAGAAACAGTGGTAAGATGTCCCTTGGTTTTAATTACTTTTCTGACAGCTCTTGGCTGTATTCTAGTTTTAAATATTAAGTCCTGGAGGAAGACAAACCTTGGACAAAAAGCGTTCAGTTAGATGTTGGCAATGTCAGACAGAGCAAGGTGGTCTGGCCACCTCTCCTGATGGCAGGGCCCACCACATCCCCGCATCCTGCTCCAGGGACTTCCAGGGAAGAGAGGGACAGCTCAAAGATGTGGACATCTACCTGGGGCCAACACACTGCTGCTCCATCACAGACCTCCTCTGTAGCCTGGGGCTCATCACTTGCTGTCTTTGTGCCTCCCTTTCCCCAGTGATGGGGAAGCCATGATGGTGAGTACATTAAAGATCAGTAAGCAGTCAGATACTCCAGGAGGAGAAAAAAAAGAATGCAATAGGGGTAGATAAGGCTATGTAGTAAGTTGGGATATAAAAACACCTCTCTGCAGCTGCAAGAGGCGGTGAACTGGGCAGAAGTTGCAGGGAAATGATACAGACATGGACACCCGAGACTCCTCCCTCTTCTGATGCTTAGATATCTAAATACTCAATCCTCTGCTAGCAAACCCCCTCCAGTCCTTTAATGAGCCTTGGTAGCTCATTAGATAAATGAAGTCACCCTGACTTCCTTTCTATAAGTCATCTACCAATTTGTTTCTGAGACTTCTGGTTTCAATGAAAGCTTTCCTGGCAGAGCATGTGGTTCAGTATCCCATGTTTTTCTGTGTTGGGATTCATTGCCCTCATTTTCATCAACATAAGGATGAAACAACAGGAATGGTAACAATGTCAGTCCTGGGAAAGGGGGGAGGGAGGGCTCAGAAGAGTATTGTTTTGTTTTTTAATAAAAATAATATCTGGAAGCAAACCATGCACAAAGCATCCTATGATAGAACGGGGCTGGAACAAGGTCTCTCAAATCCCAGGCCAGGAACACCACTGCAAGAGCCTCCTTTCTGCAAGAGGAATAATTCACTTGTTGGAAGGTGTTTCTGGATCCCTTCCAAATCTCTACAAAATGCAGTGGCCCTAATGACAACAGCAAAACTTGACTTTAATACCTAACGTTGGAACATT